TGTCAATTACCGTTTAGTGTAAATGCTTCTTCATTGCCCAGTTTGCCTTCCAAAAAATACTAATTTCCTGTTTTTTTTTGTTTTTAAATCAGTCCATTTTTGTCATCAAATTACAATGTCACACGATCATGTTTTGTGTTATTCAGAAATTCATAATTTTTGAACATTCTGATTGGTTAATTATTAGATTGACCTATCAGTTTCAGGTCAATATGTGTATCCAAAAAATATGGCAAATATCATTTTGCATTGAGTGCTTGTGCTTACAGGAAACTAAGTTCAATTTTACTCGTTTATTGAAACCAAGGCAATTTCAATTTCAATTGAAGAGTAATTGTTTTATTCTGTGGAAATACTATTTGAGACATGTACGGCCTTTAGCTCACACCTGATACCTGTGACTGATATTTTTATGATAAACTGGCTTGTTTCTTAATTTTAGGGTCCATGACATTGTAACTGTGCTGTTTTAGTAAATTTGTTTTTATACAAGCCTGTATCGCCTGGGCAGGGTTTTGATGTTTTCGCTATGTTTTAGACATGTGTTTGTCAAAATTGTGTCAATGTAATACTAAAGCTGAGCAGGTGGTAATTTATTTTTACATTCTTTTATTTTTTTGCTGCTATCTTGGATGTTGTTTGTAAGTATGCTTCCTTTAATTAAAGTGTCAATTATTAGAGTGTATGTAGAAACATGGGGAGGGGGGACTAAGGCTAATGTTAATATGGCTATCTCTAAGTGTCTTTCATTTACGGACAACATCAAAGGATTGATGTTGGATAACAAATTTAATTTCTTCAGATGGTGATTGGAGATGGGGTGTCCCAAACAATATCAATCGTATTTGTTAATGAGTTCTTATTCATAGTATAAAATCTATTTTTTTTTTAAGAATCTAAGTTTTAAAGTGATATGGTTGTTAATATTTTAAAATATTGTTTATTTTTGACACACACTGATTAAATGATAAACCAATTATGAAATGTGTTTATTATGATGAAAAACATGGTGTTGCAAGGGGGTGGGGCTTGATTTTTATCCTACATCAATGTTTTGATGGTGTCTCTTAATTGATACCTAACAGCCAGAGTGATGACATTGACTTTGATATTTTTGATTATAGATGTGTCTGCTGTTGTAGTTCATCACAAGATAATTGTTGTGAGTGTAATACAGCAGCATTAAAAGATGTCACTGGTCTCAAAGACTGTGACATCATTTATTGTAATTTTCATAATTCTGTAAGTATATTTATTATTAATATAACAATAATAATACCAAGTATAACAAAATGATAATACAAAATACAACAAAATATATAGTATTTGTATTAAAGTTTATATAAGCTGGAATTAATTAATTTTGTTTGAACAGATTGAACATAATCAATGCATGCCTGTTGAAGTAATGAAGTGTCAATGGTCAAAATAAGTCATATTTTAATGTTCCAGTATACTATAATTGTAATTGTTGCCTCATGTGCGTTTTTATTGGAGATACTCTTCCCATTGAGTGATATACAGTACATATATGGAAAAAACCAAAAAGTTCTTCAGTTATTAGTTTTAATTTTCAATCAACTCATGAAAATAAATCAATGCATTCATTTAAAAATTTGCTCTTTGTTTATGTATTAGAAATGAAAGACCACACACATGTAGTTGTACACAAGACCAAATCTCTTGTCAGAACAGGGACTAACAAAAGCATACACTGTTCAGTAGAGCCCAGTAAGGGACTGATTAGACATGTGTCTTTTTGTGTATTTCAGGTTTATGAAATTCCATTCTTTGTTGCCTTGGATCATTCACAGTTGGCAGTTATAATATCAATTAGAGGCAGTTTGTCTCTCAAAGTAAGTCATTTGTTACATACTGTAAAACCATTTATATTTCACTGGCATTTACTATTTTGATGTTTTGAGCAATTTCACTGGGTTTAAAGTTAACAAACTTGGCAAGGAAACAATGAGTTCTATTGTTATTCAACATGTTCACATTTAATTTGCCGACTTTTACTTATCCACAAAAATAACAAAATTAAAAACCTGCGCATAATTAATGCATTTACAGGATAATCACAATACTATCCCTTTAAACTGATTAGTGAAATTCTACGACCAATCTACCTAAAAATGCTATGTGTTTATGATGTTATGACATGTTGTAAACTTTTTATTTTAATAGGATGCCTTAACGGATATGACAGTTGGTTGTTGTTCACTTGATAACGACGCAATGAAACATATTTGTGCGCATAAAGGTATACTACAAGCTGCTAGGTATATCAAAAATAAATTAGAAAATGAACATATCCTGGAACGGGCATTCAGAGAAGCACCTGTAAGTTGTACATTTCATTTCACTGCACAATTAGTGGTGACACTCCCATGTAAATATTACTGGTATTATAGTGATATGTGTTGATAGGTTACTGCATACTGTGACATTTGTTTATCGTACATTGCTGGTAATCGCAGCATGGTTGTGCATAACATATACGGTAGTAATAAAACGTCACATAAATTCTAAGGTTACATTCTACTCTACTCACCATATAAACATAAATATAGTTTTACGCCTAGGCATTAATGGAGTGACATACAATAATGAAACATCACATCAATTCTAAGACTACATTCTAGGCTACCTACCATATGAACATACCGGTAATTGTAGTTATTGTCCAGGCATTTATGAAGTGACATATAGTAATGGAACATCACATAGGTTTCTTACCAACTAAATATTTTTTTTTATTATCAGGATTATAAAATTATCATAGTTGGTCATAGTTTAGGTGCTGGAACAGCTGCTCTACTCACGATTTTGTTACACAATACATGGCCTGGTCTTCACTGCTATGCTTACTCCCCACCAGGAGGCCTTCTAAGGTAAATATATCAATATGGGATAATCAGGCTGATAATAAGGATGATTTCAAATCTGCATTTCCAGAATTTGTTCATTATGTACGCTTTCGTATGACCATATTAGCTCCATTAGTACTGCATGATGTGACTATGGTTAAAATAAGTAATATTTCAATGATGCAGTACATTTTTTGTGTGTGTATGCAATAGAGCAAATACAGTACATGTTTTAATCCAAAACAAAAAGTAAGGTGTAACACCATTTAGAATATTTGTTGTAAAAAACTACCACCTTTGCTCTACACCTTATATTGGAGTAACTCCTAAACAGTTTACAAACAAACAAAGAAAAACAGATTATTGTGTTTTGAATATTTAATCAAACTTTTATTTCATATTTTAAACATTTTTGTAGTGATTGATTGTTGATCTGTGAAATAAATAAAAATCATTGTTTTGTTTCATTTGCTGCTGTAGTTCTGAAGGTTGTGTTTATAGTAAAGACTTGATCACATCAGTGGTAGTTGGGAAAGATGTTATACCAAGGTAAATGAACTCATAATACAATATACCGATAATATACATATATTTCTGCAGAAAACACTTGTGTTCACCAGGCACTTATGCTATACTACCATAGGCAGTATTTTGAAAGGATTAATGATGAGTTGATAGCCACCATTGTGCATAGTAGTTAGCAATAAAAAGGTATTTGTCTATTTGCCCAACCCAATCCAATCCAATGTCCAGTTACTAATAAAATGGCAAAACATTTTTTGGGAGTGTCGCCATTTTAAACAAGCATTCTAGTATCAGTGTAGATAAAAATAGAGATAACAAATCAAAATGACAACGAAAAATGCTTTGATTTGTAAGAACAATTGCATTCAGTGACATGATTATATTTCTATTGTGCACTATTAATAGTGCTTCTTTGTCCGATGTGAATGTTCGAAAGTGATGCAAACATGATGCACATTTTCTATTAAAACAAGGAAGACATTCGCACATGTCTATAACACTTTCGAACACGTCCAGACATCGTTTAACAGCCCAATAAATTCTATTGATGAATACATCATGGAGACATAATGTTTACCTATTAATACAGGTAATTTGAACTTGATCTTCACAATTGTTGCTTTATTTGTAACCATATGAATTCTTTGTTATTCTCAGACTTAGCATTCAGACTATGGAAGACATGAGACAGAAGATATTGAGAGTACTTCGAAATAACACACAACCTAAGGTTGGTAAATTTTGCACGATTTCAGGATATTATGACATTCGTGAAAACAAAATTTTCACTGGTACAAAATTTTTCAATTTTCACTGATTCACAAAATTCACATCAATTTGTCTCCTGCAAAATTATAACTGTTTACAGTATTTGGAGATTTAAAGATCTCAAATGGTCAAACTGCTTGTAAGCATGCACCAATCAGATTGCTGGGTTTATAATACACAGCATTGAGGTATCCCAAAGTATTGACAGCAATGGTATTTGAAATAGATTTACCATCACATTGTATTAGTTGAATCTTGAAAAGCACCAGCTCATAAATTCGTAATGGGTTGTGGGTATACGTGTATCGTAAAATCTGCATTAGAAGCTACATTCTAAATAGAAGTCACACTCATTCTTTTGGAATAAATGAAAACCAAAAATTCATCATTTCTTATGTGTGTAGATGCTCTAATAGAAGTTGCATCCATTCTATTGCATTGTATCATTTTAAATAGAAGCAAGTTTTTTAATACAGATTTTCAGTTTGTATAAATTGTTTGTTTTCTTGCATTTAGTATCAGATTTTATTAGGTGGTTGTTGGTACACTGCGTGTGGATTACCAGAGAGAATGCCTGCACCAACAGAAGATGTAGAAAGTGGTCCACATATGAACCAACCACTGTTGGATGAAAGAACAGCGACAACAGGGAGTAGACCACGTAATTATACAACAGATGACAGTCAGGCAACAGATAGTTCAGCTAACACACCTTTATTTCCTCCAGGCCAGATAATACATATTGTAGAAGACACTCCAGGGTAGGCATACTGTAAAATCATTGGGCTCGTGGGTTTATATTAATATGTGAAAATGTTTGGTGAACAAAATTTGCACACATTGCAGAACAAGGACTTTTAGAAGTTTGGTAGTAATTTTAAACAGAGACAAATTATTGTGAAGTCAACCCTAAATAAAAAAAGAATTATAGAGTACATGGTTTTTCTAGTTATCACAGCTGCAGAGAGTCCCAAAAATGACACCAATCGAAGCACACTGATACTGACGATTTTACCATTTTACCATTTTAAGATCAAAAATTACACCTAGAGCTTTGTTACCCTGGTATCAGATTCAATAACATTTATTTATTTATATGCATGCCATCCCTCGCAAAAAGTTTTTTTCAAAGTAAAGTGAATTACATTGTACATAGTAGTATGGCTATGTGATCCTACACCTTGATATACATAATGTGAAACCTATTTATAACTATATCTTGCAGCTCATGGTGTGGCGAACCGGTTTATTCTGCAACTTGGGCTGGAGCTGATACATTTAGTAATATCGTCATCAGTGGAAGAATGGTAATTGATCATATGCCAGACGTGGTAATGAAAGCTTTGCAGCAGATATCAGAGTCCACAGTGTTGCCCTTAGAAACAACACATATCACAAGTGATGACAGCTTTGATGAAGAAGAAGAACCTGTTATAACCTAAGCCTGCCATATATACCTGCCTAACATTATACATTGTTTTCATGACTTAAGCTTACATACACTAAAATACTATATTTATTGTGTAGATGAATGTATGGGTACTGCATTTTATATGAGTAGTGCATATGCTTACATAAATGACAGAGGTGGGTCTATAGAAATTTTTAGGAGAATTTGCTGCTGCGCCAAATATGAGTCTCACAGGGATGAGATAATGGATAATTTTGTGCAATACTGTAAAATGACTAATTTTCACTGGGTTTAAATTTCACTGATTTACTATTTCAGGCATATTCAGTGGGTTTTAAATTCACGGTTTCGTCATTTAGATAATGTGTTTTATGCTAAATTTTACATATTCACTGTGTTTTAATTTAGCACATTTTTCCAGTCAGCGAAATAAGCTATATTAAAACCCAGTGAATAATTACCCCCTTTACAGTATACAGACATACCCATGCTTAAAGTGTACATTATTAGGGTTTATCTAGGTAAAGTAAATTAATTTAGACCCACTGCCTGTTCCCCAAACACCCTCTTGCCTAGATTAGGTGTAAGAACATGATGGGTTGTGGGAATATCAATTTGTTTAACATTACAAACCTTGCAAATGCATAGTGCAAAAACCACTGCCTCTTAATGAATCTGCATACAATAAATATTTGGTTTATGTTATTATGTGCATAAAGATGGGCACATACTGTTGTACACCCTTCCTGCAAGTTCTCTGGTGACTAGGTGGTTTTGTGATGTACAAATAATGTTTTGTAAAATCTATATTAGAAGCCGCATACCTAATAGAAGTCACACCTGTTCTTTTGAGAACCAAAAATTCACTATTTCTCATATGTGCAGTTGCTCTAATAAAAGCCACATTCTTTCTATTGCATTGTACTATTTTAATAAAAACTGTGGCTGCTCATACAGATTTTACACAAGGAAAGATGATCAATGTCACGATGAATGATATCTGTTAAGGAGAGTGTCCTCTATAGCAGATCTGACAAATCAATCAGCATTGTACAATCATTGCATAACATTAGGCCACTCAAAATTTCTACAAAAAAAAAAAAACTTTTCAAAATTAGTTCTTTTGTGATAAACATTATTACAGCAGCATTTTATGAAGGGACCAAGGAAAGACAACTTTGTGCCTTGAATGCATGCCACTACGATTTTGTAATAATAGTGTCAAGATTGTGGCTGTAGGTTTATAGTATGTAGCAATGTATTTATGAATGCTAGGAAAATGTAGCATAAACATATAGTTAACTACATGTGACTGAATGGCTACCCATCTGTGAATTATTATGATTGACAACCGTTTATATCCAGGTAGGCAAAGATTACAAAACTGAGAGATTATTCCAAAGGGTAGTAATGCTGCTATGTACATATTTTGTTAAATTTATATAATCTGACAATATGTTCTTTGTATTTTCTGTTTTGATCCACTTTAAAGTGAAGGTGGAGGATTCATAAAGTCATATTCAGTGCCCTAGGAGTTTACAAATCATGTGTAATACATTAACAACCTTGTGCCATATGTTGTCGATAATGTATAGAGTAAAATGAGTAATGTGTTGATATATTCTAAGGAGGGTCTTTTTATGCAGATTTTATCAAAAATATTTTGTGTTCGAGCACTCGCCTTCACAAATGAAAAATAATTAATCAAAGTGGCATTCTCATATAAAATTAAATAAATGTTTGACATTTTTCAACAAAAAAATACAGGTAGAAATGTAATTAATCAGACAGTTTTGGTTTCCTGAAATTGTTCATACAGGGCATACTTGTATACTATTTTCACTCCTGCCCCCGCCTCTTGTACAACTCCTTAAGGTAGCAAGATAGTTTATTGGCAAGGGAAATGAAAGGAGGGCGTACGTGAAAGCACTAAACCTATATATATTTAGGAAGAACTAAATAATTAGATTTAATGTGTATGCATGATTATTACTATTCTGCCACAATATTATTATTAATTAATTTTTAATATGTGCAATGTATTATAAAGTGCAATCTTAATTTTAATGTACTTTTGTCTATTTAATTTTAATGGTAGCATAAGAATGGGTGATTTTGATTGACTTCCTTGTGCAAAGTACACAATGGGAGATGTATGCACACGTGTGTGTGTTCCACTGAAATCTAAAATTCAGATTTCAGTGAGACGTCTTAGGTAAAATTGGATACATGTAGGTGATCTGATTGCTTTAACAGTGCAACTATCAAAAAACAGCTAAATGGGTGACAGGCTTCTTGTTTAACAGGCTTATATTAAATATTTCATGCCTTCATTCTTTGCTTCTATTACCTTTAGCACACAGAGTTGTTTTTTATTTATTAGTTATTATGTATGTTTTTCATTGAGGCTAATGTTTATGTGCAATATATTTGAAAAGTTGCATATTATGAATGTTCTACTATTATAAAAAATATCATGGCTAAAACAGATTTCAGCACCTTTTAATATGGAGCAGCAGTAGAGTTGGTGGTGTTAAATAAAGTGCAGTCTTCCTTACAATGTTCCCCAATTCTTGCCATTTGTATTAAATGCAAATTATATACAGTTTTGTGTCCATTGACGTCATACCAACTGCCATATTTTTTGTTGTTGCATGTCAGTATTTTGCATGGCTATACAAAGTATTACATTACAGTGCATTTGTTTATTATCAGTAAAGAAGCAACAGCTTGAATATTACTGTGATGTTATATTGTTTGTTATAATTCTATATAAAAATGATATACACACTAGATGTGAGGTTTTTACATTGTTTGTGAGGAATGGATTGTCGTGTTCTATCACATCCACAATAGACCATTTTCCGTACACTGTGAGAATCACGCGTTATGCGTGAAATCGAACGTAAAAACAGGACAAACAAAGGTCATAGAGTCGTAGTCGCGTCAAACATCGCGTGGGATTCGACAAACGCGAAAGTATTTCGGGGACATTTCCATGCTTAATGTGCTGTCCACATTTGATGATAGGCAATTTTGATTAAGTAAGGGTATTCGGAAGCAATATTCCTCTGTCGAAGATCGGCCGGTCAATGTAAGCTGCGAAATAAAGAAATTCTAGTTCAAAATCAAATCGTTTGATTTTTGCAGCAGACGTTCGACGCGCGTCTTTCATGCATCTCGCGAGATCTTCGCAATTGTTCGGAAAATCACCTATTCAA